GCGTCTGTACCAGGCCGCCAGGTCACGCCTGGGCTAGGCCGCCAGGCCCCCCTTGGGCCAGGCCACCAGTTTGCGCTTGTGCCAGGCCGCTAGTTTGCCGCCAGGTCGCGCCTAGGCCAGGCCGCTAGGTTGCGCCTGAGCTAGGCCGCCAGGTGGGACACCATCAACTTGGCTAAAGCAAGTTGTCGCCTAAATGATTCCGGGTGTCACCTAATTATTCCAAAGTGCCATGTGTCACAATATCATTGGAGGGCTAAATTCACCATCTCATCTCATCATTGTCTGAAAAAGGTGATGACATCTCATCTGGGCTCAAATTTCAATAACAAAAAAACCCATCCTGCACTGAATTAACCATTAACAAAATCCCCATAAGGAAAGCGGGTAAAGCCAAATCTCGTGTGCTTTTTTGTTCTCTTTCTGGTGTGGTGGTGGTCCATTCAATGGGGAAAATAAAATAAACAATTTTAATAAAAAATTGGGAGAATGACGGTTCATTTATTTATTCGATTTTATAAATTAATTAAACTTTTTATTAATTTATGTTATATTTATTTACTCAATTTATTTTAAGCTTTCATTTGGATAAATATTTTACTTTTGGATACAAGACAGAATTGGGCAACAATGAAAAATGCTTTTTTTATTTTATTTATTGATAAGCAAATCGAATTAGGATAACCCGACGGAAGGACAATGGTAAAGGGACGCGACTGCATCGAGCATCATTTATGGCCCATGGGTGCAGTGGAGAGGGAGTTCTCATCTCCAATACACGGAGATATGCCGTGGAACGTTGTGGGGTGCAATCTTCTATAGGGTTGATTTGAATTGGTTCCACGTTGTCCCGTTAGCCCTAAAACGAGTCCAATCCTGACCCTTCAACCTTAAATTGTGCCTGATCCGTTCTATTCCCCTCCGCCCGAGCTCGGATTCAATTCCTTCTCTGGCATCGACGATTAAATGTGAGGCGACGGGCGGAGATGCGAACTCCAATTATCATCTTCTCCTCCTCCTCGGAGAATGTGCCTTTCTTCAAATCAAGCCTCAAATAGTTTATCCACCTCTACCTGCAGCTCTTCCCACACCTCTGCAAACCTACAAATTAAGTAAGAAAGTGATGTGGCGTAATCCGGCTACTCCCTGTTGGAGACGATCTGGCTGCCAACAACGACAGAGACTGAGTAACCTGCAAGAGATGAATCAGAGATCCCGGGGTGGCTTACCCGGCGGGAACACTTCGATGGCTAAGTTAGCACGTATTAGAGAGCTTGAAGATGATATCAAAGAATTAGAGAGCTAGAGAGCAAAGATAACACATCATACATTCGCCCCTCGGGGGTGAGGTCTTTATATACTGAAGTCCCTACGGGTTTGGTGGAGCAGTTCCTGGATCCTCGCTGTGATGAGATCCGCTTTCGTGTTAGGTGGGGATAATGCCACCAACCGGTAAGGTTGCCCATCTCCGCCTGAATCGGTGAGTGGGTGAGCTAATATAGCCGTTAAGGTACAATCCCGTAAGATGCAGGGTACGGTGGTGAGCTCATCGGGGTTGTCACGCGGAGGTCGACCTAACTAGGTAGTGAGCTGCCTATGAAGTGCCGGGCTACTTGGTGGTGAGCTGCATAGTGGCGAGCTGCCTGAGCTCGTGTTCTTCAGATCCGTCTTGCTCTGAATGCCAAAGCGCCTTAATACTGAGATGATCTTGCATCGAGGTAGGCTTGTCCCGAGGTGAACTCTTTTCGAGGTGGGCCCAGCTATCCGAGCTCGATCCGAGGTTGCTTTGTAGCGAACTGGTCATGCTGAGCTGTCATTTGTGTCTAGTCATGTCCACGCGCCGATCTAATCATGCTGAGTTGTCACTTATGCCGAGTCACGTCCACGTGTCTCCCTGTTACGAGGTTGGGCCAAATTTCCCTTCATCAATTGCCCCCCACTCCCCGAGCTAGGGGTCTTGACCTGGTGCGAGGAGTTCATGATGTGACAAGTGGATTCAGCTCGAAGTCCAGGCTGCTTTGTCATATAGGTCATCGGTCAGACCAGTTCGGCTGCTCGGCTCAACCAAGAATAACCCAGGTCGCGTGCGGTTTACACACGGTTGTCACGCGATCTACAAATTCTGCGGACGCCAAAAAATGCGCTAAACTAATTTCGACCTCGAGGGTCGTGCAGTCAGTTTTCTTAAGAGTCGTTAGATTGCTCTGATCTTGACCGTTGATTCTTCGGTACAATGGCTATAAATAGGGGGACCGCGACTCATTTTTCTCGCCATAAGTTCACAAGTATGTTCTGAGGTCGTGTCAGTATCCTTCAACTCGTTCTTCTTTTGTTTTCCGAGGTCAACCTTCCTTTCGGTGAGTCCGTGTTTTCCTGTTCTTCCTTTGTTTTTTAATCATGTCCAGTTCTAGCATAGACAGACTTTTAGGTAGTTCTAGCGAGGTTGAGGGTGTCGTGGTGCAATCCGCGGCCCCTGTTGGGGAGGTCAGCTTGCCGTAGGGTGACTCCCCTCTTCTGTCTTTAGTGGAAGCTTTTGCTCCCGTAGTTGAGCCATCTCGGCTCGGGGAGACCGAGGTTCAGGAAGAGGGTTTGTCCTCTAGGACGGAGGCCCCATCTTCTTCCCGGACTCGAGACCCAGATGACTTCGGTCCTTCCACCCTAACTTCTGATAGGCTAAAGTACCTTATAGCTCGCTTTCGTGTTCCTGATAGCTTGGTTTTTAGCCTTCCCTTAGGTCAATACCCTTGGGCTCATGATCACCATAAACTCGCGGTCTTTGAGGAACAGCTCATAACCGGGCTGCGCCATAGATGTGCATGTAAGGCGCTCTGTGTGAGGAACGGATCCCGTTCCTTAGCCGCCTCACCGCATGCGACTGATGCATATGATAGCCGTTAATTCGGCTTCAGTTAGGGCAAAACTCGTTCAAGCAGCTTTTACTATTGCATTAAGAATATTTTTTTATTTATATACTTTATTTTAGAATAAAATACAAAAAACCTTTCCTAAAAGTTTTGATAATCATAAAAAACTTTCCCTATAACTTTATTTTAACAAAAATCCCCCTTCTATTTTTGATAAAATTAACAAATACTTCCCTTTCATCGATGACCAAGACGAAAAACGTTAAAGAGATGATTTTTTTTTAAATACCTATTTTACCCTTTTCTCGAACACTGTTCATCTTCTTCTCCGTTCGAACCCAACAGCAGAGGCAGCGTTTGCACCCCTCTAAATCTGATCTCTTCCTCTTCTCTTATCTTCTTCGGTTTCTTGTTCTTTTCCGTTCTTCTTGTTCTTCTTCTGGCATTATCCCCTTCCATCGCCCCTGTTCAGTAGCGGCGATGCTTCATGTGAAACCTCTCTCTTTCTGCCATTCTCTCCCTCTCAATCTCTCTTTCCTATTGTCCCTCTCCCCCTCAACATAAATCAATCGAAAAGGCATTATTCCTCCCCTTCCCTGTTCGAACCCAGAAGCAGAGCAGCGGCGGCAGCACCCCCCTTAGCCATTCCCTTCCTCCCTCTCTCCCTTTCTCTCATTTTCTTCTTCTTCTAGTTAGTTGGCTTGTTCTTTCAGGCGCATTACCAGAGACAATCGGAGGGCTGAAGAACCTTGAGTTTCTTAACCTTTCTGCTAATGCCCTGGCGGGAAAGATTCCTTAGAACCTCACTGCTCTTCGAAATCTTACTATCGTTTCCTTGAGCAACAATTACTTCTCTAGCGATATTCCAAGTGTGTTCGAAGCCGTTCAAGTTTTAGATCTGTCTTCCGATCTGATTAACGGGTCGTTGCTGCTAGATTTCAGTGGAGTCAGGCTCCGTTACTTGAACCTCTCGCTCGTCGGAAGGATTCCACTAGAATTTGGGAAGCAAATCCCAGGAAAATGTCACGCTTGACCTCTCGTTCAATAATCTCACAGGAGAAATCCCGAAAAATGTAGCTTTTGTCAATTAGAAAACGTTCGCTGGAAACCCGGATCTATTAGGGAAGCCACTGAAGAACCTACGTGTCGTGACTTATGTTCTTTCTGCTCCACCCAATGTCTCTGAAATTACTTCTCCTCCTGCATTTGCAACTATTCCAAACACCATAGACTCGACACCTGTAGCTGGGTCATCTGGAACGATGAATGGGACTCAACAACGAAGGTAGAGGGGTCTCAGACTAGGAACAATTATTGCAGGCATCATCTTTGGGGATTTGGCTGGTATCGGAGTTCTGGCTATGATATTCTATTATGTTTACCAAATAAGGAAGAGAAGGAAGAAGGTGGTCAGTAGTACAGGAAGCGCAGAGAAGAAAGACAAAATGGACGAGAAAGATATCTGGCCTTTGTCATCAACAGAACCAAAGACGTGCTGGTGCCTGGGAAAGAAAAATGATGACGGCGAAGAGACGTCTGAGATGACGAGTACTAATAGTGATGAAGACGAAGAGGAAAAGGTGGGTGATGAACAACAGAAAAAGCAGCAATAACAGAAGGGAGGGTCTCTTATAACTATAGACGGAGAAACGGAGTTGGAGCTGGAGACTCTACTGAAAGCATCGACTTATGTATTAGGAGCGACTAGTTCGAGCATAGTATACAAGGCCGTGCTGGAGGACGGGACGACGCTGGCGGTGCGAAGGATCGGTGAGAGTGGTATAGAGTGATACAGAGATTTCGAGAATTGGGTCAAACTTATAGCTAAATTGCGCCATCCCAATCTGGTGCGCATACGAGGGTTCTACTGGGGTTTCGAGGAGAAACTCGTCATCTACGATTACGTCCCTTGTGGTAGCCTCGCCAACTTCGGTTACAGTAAGTTCCTTCTCTTTCTCTCCTTGTTGTCTGATAATCTCTCTCAGTTTGTTTGGTGCATAGTAGCAAAAACTAGTAAGGTTGTACTAAAATGAATGGTAATGCTGGTTTTACTATGTAAAGGCACAACCGTGGAACTGAGAAGTTATTCTCTATGCCCGGAAAGTCAATTGTCCGTGGTAGGCCATTGGCCAGGCTTTGCAAAGCCCTCTGCGGCTAACGATAGCGAAAACCCTCTATCCAATATTTATTATCCATTACATATCAAAACGAAACGCCACTCATTCCCTTTCCTGTTGGGAAAAGTTTGAAAAAGAAATGCAATGCCGTCCATTACAAGATAATCTGGACTGATTGGTAATCTGTTCTGTTTTCATTGGAAGTGCATTGCTCTTTCTGGACCGCTGTCACCTGTGTTGCCGTTGCCGCTACTTTTGGGTTCGAACGGGGAAGAGAATGAACAGTGTTCGAAAAAGGGTAAAATAGGTATTTTGAAAAATGAGAATCTTTTTAACGTTTTCCGTTTTAGTCATTGGTGAAAGGAAAGTATTTATTAATTTTATGAAAAATAGAGGGTAAGCTTTTACTAAAATGAAAGTATAGGAGAAATTTTTTATGATTGTAATTTTTAGAGGAGGTTTTTGTATTGCAAGATTGAAAAAAGCTGTTAGAATAATATGGGCACAGGTTTGCCCTGATGGAAGTTGATCTCGGCAGTCGCTTTGCGAATGTCGTCAGCAAGTCAAATATTATGATTCTCACTTTTTATCTAATGGAATTAAGATGCAATGTATCAAATTATCTTATTAAAATGATTAAAAAATTTTAATCCATCGATTTTGACAAATCCCCCACCGTCAAATTGTTCAACTGATAAAAAAGAGGACAGCCTACAATAACACTACTCTTACGCTATCAACTGAGATTTGAGAAGAAAAAGATTAGAGAAAGAGACATAAAGATAAACCGGCAATTACTGAAGGAAGCGGCGAAATTACGGCGGCCACAGGCCCACTGTGCAGGAATTGTCGACTGTGCCTATTTTTCTTACTGTAAATTCTAACACTGTTTTACTACGACACGTGTCATAACATTTATTAGGAAACAAACAATTTACCTCGAATGGCTAAAAAGTAAAACTCTCTCTCCACTTGAGTGCATAGTAACGGTACAAATACAATAATATCTCGTTGGATCCAAATTTACGGGTAGGATGTAGTTTACAGGGGAGAGGGGGGGGGGTTGGAATTCAAAATTTTGCATCGTATGTATCCGTATTTCTCCCAAAAATTTATGACTTTCCTTTACTCAGGACATACAAATATTCCCCAAATACCATTTTATACTCATGGACGATCCACTGAAGGATCAGAGCTGTTGATTGTCACCCAGTTTATACATTTTTCAAATTGTTTAGAAGAACTTTACATGCTGGCACACCGTATCTTGTTTTGCCGTTTTCGTGACTCCCAACCTACCCACCTCTTTTGAAGTTTGATCTCCTCTTTCGTCCGCCGTACGATAAACGCCAGAGCGAAAAGTATCATAATTCAACAGGCGGGAGCGATCACGCTAAATACTAACTGGTGCAATCGCTGTCCTGTCGTGTTATTTATGATTGGTCCAAATCTTAACATACTTTTTAAATGCGTGACGTATGGTAGGATTCACACTGATTGCTCGCTCAGGGTCAGCGTGACCGCTCCCGCATGATCAGAAATCTGAAAACGCAATTCTACCGTCTTCCCTCCTCTTCAAGCAAACCTCACAGCTTCAGTGTCACAGTCACACTACTTCGGCCAACAGAGGTACGAACGACGGCTTCCTCTTCACCGTTCTCTCTCTCATCAATCACTCTTCACTTCGCCCCACCGCCGTTTACTGTTTTTATGCTCTCTCTCTCTCTCTCTCTCTCTCTCTCTCTCCGTGTCTATCTCCTTCTTTACAGGTCACGCGAAAAGCCTGTTTTCAGCTGATCACAGACAAACACACAGATTCTCTCTGTTAGATGGAAATGGAGATCTTCTCACTGAGGAACTGTCCTTGCATGTATTGAAAACTAAGGAGAGTTATCATTTTTAACTCTCCTTCTATCTTTTTCGCTTGTTTTTGGTTCCACAATGGAGAAAAGATCTTTGTCGCACAAGGGGGAAAATCTTATTCTATCCATAGCGCTGGTTACGCTATCGCTTCTCCTCCAGGTTGCTTCACCACTCTCCGACGAAGGTAGGGGTATCTTTCATTGATTCCTTATTGTTTCGTTTCTGCCTTGGCTACACCACCACCTCCACCTCTGTTTCTCAAATTTAGAAACATTGAGATTCTTTCGTAGCTGCATTGCGTTGCTTTTGAGGTGTGGCATATTTGTTGAGTCATTTAACCGTCGTCTTCGTCTCCGACTCCGTTGTCTGTTCCCAAGTAGCATAAACAAAACTAAAATGCAAAAATAAAAATAAAGAAACAAAAAGCTTTGGAAATGTGCATGCTATGAAGCTTGTTTTCTTGTTTGCGGAGGTTCCCATTTTTATTTCTCCGAAGCTTCAATTATTCATGTTTCGAACTCTGTATTTTATTCATGTTGGTTAGGGCTTCTTCTGCCTTTTCTTCTTCGATTTTGTAATTTTTGTTTTAAAAAATAATAATATAATGCCTTTCTGTACTCAAATAATCGCCATCGATACCAAACATTTCCTTTGGTGCAGGAAATGCCCTCATGTCGATTAAGGCGTCCTTTAGTAATGTAGCTAACGTACTCCTCGATTGGGACGATGCGCGCAACGAGGATTACTGTTCTTGGCGAGGCGTGTCTTGCGACAATGTCACATTCTCTGTTGTCTCTCTGTAGGTCTGCTGCTCAAGTATTATGTTTCTTCATTGTTTATACAACCTTATCTCTGACTTGATTAGTGGAACTCTCTACCTAGGAATTTATCGAATTTGAACCTGGGTGGGGAAATATCGCCCGCCATTGGAGACCTGAGGAATTTACAGGCAACGTACGTCCATTTGTTTTCTTTTCCTATTTCTTTCTGGCATTGTTCCTTCCGTACGTTCACGGTCCATAGCTTTTTCTTTGTTTAACGAGCAGAGATTTGAAAGGGAATCGATTAATCGGCCAAATTCCAGATGAGATTGGCAACTGTGTTTCTCTTAAAACTCTGTAATTTCTCATACCTGATGTTTCTTTCACTACCTCTTTTCCAGTTTTGACCTATAGTTGTATGGTGTATTGGTGTTAATAAATACGCACATTCATAAGTAGGTGCTTTTCTCGTGAGCAGGGATTTATCTGATAATTCTTTTTATGGTGATATACCCTTCTCATTATCCAAACTTAAGCAACTCGAAGATTTGTAAGTTAATCCAGGCTACATATCTTTTGTTTAATTCCATAAAGAGCCATTGAGTTTCACGGTTCTATGGGCTAATCCTTCAATATAGGACTTTGAAGAACAATCAGTTGACTGGACCCATTCCTTCTACTCTGTCTCAGCTACCAAATCTGAAGACCTTGTAAGTTGACTTCAGCCTTATTTTACAGTGTCTGCAATTTTAGTCTTTTTAACTTCTCAAATAAAGATCTCTAGCAGTTGTGGGCTGATATTTCACCGTTGGACTTGTTATATGTACTCGTTATCATGTTCGAACTGATTCTTTTTCAGGGATCTTGCTCATAATCAGCTTACTGGTGAAATACCAAGGCTAATCTATTGGAATGAAGTACTTCAATATCTGTGAGCATCTAGACCCGATTATTTAATTTATTCGACTCTTTTATTTCTTTTTGACGTGCATAGAATATTTTACTTTATTATCTTGTGTCATGATCTACTTGTAGGGGGTTACGTGGCAACTCCTTGACAGGAGCATTGTCCCCTGATATGTGCCAATTGACTGGCCTATGGTTCTTGTGAGCAAAACCATTTCTTCACTTTTCCTGATAATTTTCCATCTCATAATTGTATTTGTTATTAACATATCTTGGTTTTTCTTCACAGCGACGTGAGGGGGAATAACCTGACTGGAAAGATCCCTGATAGCATTGGAAACTGCACGAGTTTTGAAGTCCTGTATGTTTCTCAACGAATTATAATCTTACATTTCTTGCCCTTTATGCCCCCTTTATAATAAAAATTTCATGGTTAAACTTCAGGGATATCTCGTATAACCAGATCACAGGGGAAATTCCCTACAATATTGGTTTCCTGCAAGTGGCCACCCTGTATGTCTTCTTATTATTTTAGTCAATTAGCCCTTGGTGTTTTGTCAAATTTGTTTTATTGTGTGATCTTGTTCTGAGAGCATGCGCATTGTGTATTCTTTGATCAGTCTTTTCTCATTCCAGGTCGCTTCAAGGTAATAAGCTCACAGGGAGGATTCCAGAAGTTATTGGTCTAATGCAGGCTCTAGCTGTATTGTGAGTGACATGCTACAATGTCTTATTGTCCTATCATTGTTTTATCCGTTAGGAAGAAAACTGATGGTGATATTTTTCTGTCTTTTAGGGATTTAAGTGAGAATGAACTAGTTGGCCCAATTCCTCCGATACTTGGCAATCTCTCTTATACTGGCAAATTGTGAGATCTATAACCAAAGTGGTATATCTGTAACATTCCTTATTTTTTTGTTTTACACCCATGATACATCTTGTTGATGATGATGATCTGCCAGGTACCTACATGGCAACAAGCTTACTGGTCCAATTCCACCCGAGCTAGGGAATATGTCAAAACTTAGCTATTTGTGAGAGCTCTTCTGCATGATTGTCTCTGGATATGTGGTTCTGTTTTATTTGTACATGTATAATAGAGGCCCCATCCGTCTGATGTTCAGGCAGTTGAACAACAATGAGCTAGTTGGTGGAATTCCGGCAGAGCTTGGGAAGTTGGGGGGACTGTTTGAACTGTAAGTTTCTAGTGTTATCTTAAGTGGGTTCTCTCTTTAGTTGTTTCCTTAATGATAGAGTAAATTAACAGAATCCTTGTACATCATTGTGATGCAGGAATCTGGCAAATAACAATCTAGAAGGCCCCATTCCACAAAACATCAGCTTTTGCACGGCACTAAACCAATTGTGAGCTTTCAAAATCTCACTTCAACAATTGTGAATTAAAATTGGACAAATGAACCCGAATATGTATTGCATTTCCTTTTTGTGCAGTAATGTGCATGGTAATAGATTGAGTGGCCCCATCCCATCTGGTTTTCGCAATCTAGGGAGCCTGACATACCTGTAAGATTTGAATGGCCTATCTCTGTCGAATTAAATGGCATTTGCACTTTCCTAAACTTGAAAATTTCCATTTTAGGAATCTTTCATCTAACAACTTCAAAGGCAAAATACCTGTTCAGTTGGGACGAATTATCAATCTTGATACTCTGTAAGTCAAGTTGCATAGTCTATTTTCCATTTCTTTTATGTTTCCTCTATTAAAACCTCATTTTATAAAGTTGTTTCTTTCACATTATCCAGGGATCTGTCCAGCAATGATTTTTCAGGACCAGTTCCAGCTTTGATTGGTGACTTGGAGCACCTTCTTACCCTGTAAATGTTGAACTAGTTTGATAAAGTGTGTTGTATGACCCGTTTGGAAAAGTATTATGTATCTTAACAGTCATTATCTACTGTGTAGGAATTTGAGCAAGAATTGTCTCAATGGACCTGTTCCAGTAGAATTTGGAAACCTCAGGAGTGTGCAAGTCATGTTAGTATAGCCAAGGTTCAAAATATCGATACGCCAGATACGCCGGTAGGGGCGTATCAGGCGTTTCGATACTCGTTTTTTTACCTTTTTTTATTTTTTTTTCAAAACTGGTTCAGGGGAGCCAGTCTAGGACCCCTCCATCCCCTGAACCAGTCAGACCCCCGATACACCCACTGTAGGGGTGTATCGGAAGGGTCCCGGAATGATACGTATCGGCCCGTACGTAACGATACTTTGAACCTTGAGTATAGCTGATCTAGTTCTGCCCTTTCTAGTTGTTTCTTTTTACCGGGTAGCCAGTCAGATATGCATCCTTTGTACTTACCACATCACATTGAACTCCTTCAGTGACATGTCCTTCAACAAGCTGTCTGGAAGGATCCCTGAAGAGTTGGGTCAGTTGCAAAATATTGTTTCCCTGTAAGTTTCTATCCAATTATTTACTACATTAAAACACAATCTCATTTGTTTCAGGAACTCCAATATTTCCTATTTGGTTTTTTTTTTTCAGTATTCTGAATAATAACAACCTTCATGGGGAAATCCCAACTCAGTTGATCAACTGTTTTAGCCTAGTAGAGATGTAAGTTCCTTGTCCATTTCTTTTCTGGTTTTTGGCCAACTTTTTCTTTACTGATCATCGTAAGATGCAGGAATGTCTCGTTCAACAATTTATCAGGAGATATTCCAGCGATAAAAAATTTTACTAGGTTTCCCCCAGAAAGGTATTATTTATTCTAAAATTACTTTTTTCTTTATGCTTGGTGACATGTTTAATTTTGGCATGTTGTTTTGTCTTGGTCAGTTTCTTGGGAAATCCATTGTTATGTCGCAACTGGTTGGGGTCATCCTGTGGACCATATGCTCAGGAATCCAAAGGTAGAACATCGATGAATCATAGTCGTCTATTGTACAAATCATCTTTTTTTTACTCGTGTCCATCGTTTAGGATGTTATGGCTGGTTGAGTTGAGAAGACCTTTTATCTTCTGTTACAGCCATCTTCTCCAGAGCTGCAATTGTATGTATAACCATGGGCTGTCTGACGCTACTGTCGATGGCTTTAGTTGTGATATACAGATCCAGCCAACAAAGGGACTTCATTAAGGAATCAAACAAAATGGTGCAAGGTATGTGTATTTCAAGGATACAACTTTCTAGTTCTATTTTGTTACCACTTTGGGTAGCCTTTATTCTGATTATATATTTGTATTACCTCTATTACCAGGCCCACCGAAGCTAGTAATTCTCCACACGGACATGGCTCTTCACACCTATGAAGACATTATGAGGATTACGGAGGATCTGAGTGAGAAGTACATAATTGGCTATGGTGCTTCAAGCACAGTGTACAAGTGTGTTCTTAAGAACTCCAAGTCCATTGCCATCAAGCGACTCTACAATCAGTACCCGCACAATTTGCGAGAATTTGAGACTGAACTTGAAACCATTGGTAGCATCAAACACAGAAACCTTGTTACTTTACACGGCTATTCACTTTCGCCACATGGAAACCTCCTGTTCTACGATTACATGGAGAACGGTTCCCTTTGGGGTCTTCTTCATGGTTGGTTGGCTTCCTTTCTATTTTCTTTGTAAAGGTTCTTTCCTCCACCCCCACCCAACCAATTGTGTATCAATGATGGAATTATGCGCTTGCAGGGCCATCAAAGAAGGTTAAGCTTGACTGGGACACCAGGTTGAAAATAGCAGTTGGAGCTGCTCAAGGACTTGCATACCTTCACCATGACTGCAACCCTAGGGTCATTCACAGAGATGTCAAGTCCTCAAATATACTTCTTGATGAGAACTTCGATGCACATCTCTCTGATTTTGGAATTGCCAAATGCATTTCATCAGCGAAGACCCATTCCTCAACTTTTGTGATGGGTACAATTGGATACATAGATCCAGAGTATGCACGCACGTCCCGCCTGAACGAAAAGTCAGATGTTTACAGCTTTGGGATTGTTCTTCTCGAGCTGCTCACTGGGAAGAAGGCTGTAGACAACGAATCCAATTTACATCAACTGGTTTGTAGATCTAATCATCTGAATTTTAACCGGCATTTCAAGTAGTTTTCTTTGTTTGCTTTTTGTTTCATATCATCATTCAAATGTTTGTCTTCAGATACTGTCGAAAGCAGATGATAACACAGTGATGGAGGTAGTCGATCCGGAGGTTTCTGTGACATGCATGGATATGGGCCTCGTTAGGAAGACATTCCAACTTGCCTTGCTCTGCACGAAACGAAACCCCTCTGAGAGACCGACCATGCATGAGGTTGCACGAGTGCTGGTTTCCTTGTTGCCACCTCCACCCTCCAAGTCATGTACGTTATCTCCAAAACTAATCAATTATGCACAGTTTGTAGTAAACAAAGAAGGGAAACAACACCATCACCAGCAACAAGGACAACAGGACAATTGTTCATCTGATGCTCAGTGGTTTATGAAGTTTGGCGAAGTTATATCAAAGACTACCCTGTTATGATCCTCTTATCCTGATACTTCAACGATATAGGCACCAAATTTTGCTTCAACTGGTGCATACCACAGACTAATATTTTTTTTGCCAAACATGGATTTTTGAGCACCGCAGGAAGGTATTTTTGCTACAGTTGTGATGGTTATTGCCCGAACCGAAACCCCACCAAAAATAGGATAGAACTTGAAAAAGAAGAATGAATGAAGGAATTGGCTTTTATTTTCTTCCTTATACCGTACATAGTCAATTTCCATAATCTTTGTATTATCCCTAAAATCTACGGTTGGTATTGTGATTTCCTCAAGAAAAGAAACTATATTTTTGGCAGCAAATCAGCAATCCAAGCCTAAATTTGTTTGTTGAGAATTTGATATCTGTTCTGTTACAGAGTTCGTAGAATATAACAATCCAAGCCTATATGGTTGCCATATGCATTGACTACTGAAGTCAAGAGCTGTAAAGCAATTACGGGATGGAGTTTGAAATTGAACCATTAGACGTCTGCAGGGTAAGTTCAATTTGGGTTTGTTTAGTGCCCTGGTAGCCTAAATGCTGGTAGTCAGTCACTCTGTTCAACCTGTACGATCCTCCACCCCGTAATTGTTGCACCTTACCAAGCATTGAATTGATGTGAAGGTCACTTAATTTACCTATTTCTTCTAGCAATTAGTAGCGAGGCTGCAAGCATATCCATGTCTATTTGGAGAGTTTCAACTGCTGCAATCGCTCAGGAGATCCTATTCCACTATATTGACTAGTATTTATGTCCCTGATCTAATTCATCTCCACCCACTCACATTGGACCATTTTCTCATTTGTTGCCAGCTGTTGAAAGTTATTAGTTTTTCGATGCATGTGTGGTTGTGACTGCCAGAGGAGTTCAAATCCATGTGTCCTGTTGCAAGCCCCAACTCTAGTTCGTCCCTCTGCCCTTACTACTACTTAGGGAGAGATCTTCATTGAAACTCCGATTCATTCTTACTTTTTGTAGGGTCTCTTGCCTAGTGGGGTTGGTGACGTCTTTGTAGATTATTCTGGATTTCATTTTCTTGGTTATGAATTGATGGATTACATCCGTGCACACCTACCGATCTAGAAGAAAAGAAGGTATCCACTAAACCCTTTCACATGTTTTCATGCATGTGGACATGGAACATCTGTTTAGTGAAATTTTCATCTTCAGAATTCCCCTTAACAGTGAATGTTTCATAAATAAATATTAAAACGACCTTCCAGGAGAGTTCACAATAAATACTAAAAATTGATTCATATCTTATATGGAAAAAACATTGTTTGTGGTGGTTATTTGGAGTTTATTGTTTATTAAATCTCATTATCATTGATAAGGACCAAAATTCTGGTTCGGGGCTTAGTGCTCTTGACCATAAGTCTGAACTCTGAAGTAGGGTTGCTCTACTGGTAATCTTAAATCTAAAGCAAAGGAGGAAGAAATACGGCCGAGGGGCTGCGGTGGTTGTAATGGCAATGAGGAGGGAAGAAGAAAAGAAGAGTTTATGAGAGACATGAAAGGGTAGGTAGACACTTGAGCGGGATAATAAAATTTAGGGTAAATTTTTTAAACTATGCTTATGGTTTAGTTAATTTTGACTACATGCATCCTTATTATTTGAAAACTAAGTGTACCCTTGAATGGAAAAGATCAAATGCCCGTTTTACCCTATGTGAAGTTACATTTTTGTCTCTAATTTTAACACTCAAAATCGAAAGAGAAGAGGGAGGAGCGCCATCCATCGACGCTGCCATCGCCACCAAGGGCGGTCGTTACAAATATCGAGCAGCGAAGGTCCGGCAAAGGACTGATGGAGGTCGGTGAGTTTTTTTTGTGTTTTCTTAACACCCTTTTTTGTGTCGCTTTTGCAGTGAGTTATAAGGAAACATTGACAGAGGAAGAAGTTGAAAAAAAAATCAACGAATAGCTTCAAAAGCGTCTTCAGATCAAAGCTCTAATGGTGGTGTTGTAGATATGGCCAAAGTTTCCCCGAGGAGAGGCTCTGAATGCTCAACAGTAGTTGGTCCTTATTTTGCAGGTGGTCCTTTTGATTGAATCGAAGAAAAGGATCAGAAGAAGATGAAGTTGTTGTAGTTCCTTAAGCAGTGGATTCATTTAAAAGGAAAAACTTGAACAGGGGTCTCTCTCTATCAATGGATTTGGTGTAAATGAGAGTAAACCCTCGAATTGGATTATCGGAGGAGCCGTCTGGCGCAGATCAAGCTTTTTTGGATTAGATTGCCTTCTCGCTTCGGCGGCGGCGATGACCCCTCTTCGAATGGTTAGACAGTGTATGGGTATGTCATGCCATGGCACACCACTTGATTTCCTTCAGCCATTTGCTTTATGCCTGATGAAGATTTAGAGATGGTGAAGTGCTTCTTGTGTCCATTCTCTCCATCTACTTCTGTCCCCACTGTGGTGATGTTCTTCCCYAGCTTTGAAATGCTCCAATCTATCATCGACTCTAACGATGTTTGTTATGATATGTATATTGTGTATGGGTATGTCATGCCATGGCACACCACTTGATTTCCTTCAGCCATTTGCTTTATGCCTGATGAAGATTTAGAGATGGTGAAGTGCTTCTTGTGTCCATTCTCTCCATCTACTTCTGTCCCCACTGTGGTGATGTTCTTCCCYAGCTTTGAAATGCTCCAATCTATCATCGACTCTAACGATGTTTGTTATGATATGTATATTGTGTATGATGTACCTTATCTTAGCCTAGCATAGCTCATAGTTAGTTAGAGAGTTAGTTTTTAGCTAATGAGATGTCCATATTTTAGAATTATTCCCTGCATGAGCTGTTTTGCATGAGCTGGTAGGTTAGTTACAATAGTTTTCTGTATATAAGGATTTGTATAGCAGAAATATTCGATGAACGAGAATGAAGTTTCTTCTCATCTTCAACCTTTCTTATTTGGCTTGGTTTTAATCAAAGTTTGTTCATGGTATCAGAGCTCTTGATCTGATATTGATTTCTTTTATTCAAGTATTTTTTACTTACTGGTGGTAAAGAACGATGGAAGAGGAGCAAGAAATTACTCTTACTCCTGCGGCTCGGGTTGCAAATACTACTGCTAGAGTTACAAGGGAGCTCTTATATGGCAACAATGGAGATCCACTTGTGGTGCAGAGTTCAGATCATCCAGGAATGGTCCTAGTAACTGCTTTGTTAAATGGAAATAATTATCTTGCATGGAGCAGGTCGATGAAGATAGCTTTGGGTGCAAAGCTTAAACTGGGTTCTGTAATAGGGGAATGTGTTAAACCTGAAGAAGGAGCACCGGAATTAGCTCAGTGGAACAGAGTGAACTGCATGGTGACTTCATGGATACTTAATTCCATCTCTAAAGAAATTGTTGAAGCCTTCTTATACACCACAACAACAAAGGAACTCTGGGAAGTAATCAAAGAGAAATTTGGAGAATCAAATGGGCCATTACTCTATCAGATTCAAAGGGAAATCAACACAATCTCTCAAGGTACTATGTCTATCGTGAAATATTATACTAAGTTACATAAGCTGTGGGATGAATTAGCATGCCTTATGCCCTTTCCTATATGCACCTGTGGAGCTGCAAGATCTGTTTCAGATATTAATGGTTTTAATAAGCTGATGCAATTCTTAATGGGTTTAAACAATACCTATGATAATATCAGAAATCAGATTTTAGTTATGAATCCACATCATTCTATTAACAAAGCTTATTTAATGGTCTTGCGTGTTGAAAAACAAAGGGAAGTTCATGGTTCTTACAATGACAATATTGAATCAAATGCTTTGTTGGCTAAAACTCAATTCTACAAGAAAGAAGGGATGGAATCTGTTAAGAAAGAAGAGGGCAGTGGAAGAGGGAACAATAAAAGAGTAGACAAGGCCAATAAGCATTGCAGTCACTGTAACATGAATGGTCATGTTAAGGAAACTTGTTTTAAATTACATGGCTACCCGGATTGGTATAAAGATTTGAAAGGAGGGAAAGGGTCAGGTAGAAATGTGGCTAACATGGTGGATACTCCACTGAATATTGAGGATGACAGTGAGGACAAAAAATCAGACAAACAGAGTTCTATTGCTAATTTGGTACAGCAAGAATTGATGAAATTACTGAAAGGCAAAATGACAGCAGAAAGTGGAGTACATGTCAATTTTGCTCATCTCAATGATTTTGCAGGTAACATTTTTTCTTATGAATTTGCCTTGGCTTCTGCTTTTAATGCTAACTTACTATTGAAATCTAGAACCTGGATTATAGACATAGGTGCTTCAAACCACATGTACACTGATATCAAATTGATTGAAAACCCCAAACTAGTAAAACAAATCATACCTGTTTACTTACCAGATGGAACCATTCAATTTGTTAAACATATTGGAAATGTGCCTTTGAATTCCAGATTGAACTTAACAGAAGTTTTACATATTCCAACCTTCAAGTTCAACTTGCTTTCTGTTAACAAGCTTGCTAAATCAGTAAATATCAAATTCATTTTTAAGCCTAACCAGTGTATATTGCAGGACCAATGGGCTGAGAAGATCTTGGTTGTAGGCAAGCTAGTAGGAAACCTATATATTCTAGACAAGTTTTGTTTTGATCATTTTGAAGATCATTGTAAACCAAAGGCAATTTCTATTTTGCAGACTGAAACTAAGATTCCTAAACGTGATGTATTTGACAATTCAGGTTCTTTATTTGCTAATACATCATCTTGTTTACCTTTATCTCTCTGACACAAAAGGCTTGGGCATGCATCAGTTGTTGCTTTAAAACATCTAGATCAGTGTAAGAAAACCATGAATCATCCTTTACCTGTGTGTGATATTTGCTACAAATCAAAACCATGAATCAACACCTTTTGAGTTAATACACTTGGATTTATGGGGACCTTATAGACAGCCTTCCTTATCTGGTGCACGCTATGTGCTAACAATTGTAGATGATTTCAGCAGGGCAACATGGACCTATTTGCTGCCAAATAAAATGCATACACTCACTGCTTTTATTAATTTTCATACTATGGTTACCACTCAATTTGATAAAAGAATAAAGTCTGTAAGGACAGACAATAGCACTGAATTTGTCAATAAAGAATTTCAAAAGGTTTTACTTGATAATGGGATTTTGCATCAAAAGAGTTGTGCATATACACCCCAATAGAATGGGATAGTAGAAAGAAAGCACAAACATTTACTTTAAGTGGCACGCTCTTTGATGTTTCAATCAAATTTGCCCAAGAAATTTTGGGGCCATTCAATTTTAATGGCTACATACATCATAAAGACTTCCTAGTTCTATTTTAGGATGGAAAACACTTTTTGAGATTTTACATAACA